ATGCTGCTTGGCCTGCTGTGTTCATCCAGCTCTGCACCTTGTTGTCTTCAAAAAATAATAACCAGCTTTGAAAAGTATATTTACACAGATGAATGATTAATTACCATATTTGGAATAATTTTGTCTTTTTAAAACAATAAAGCTAGTTCAGTGTTCTGTATTCATCCACAAATAGAAAACAATTAAAATGCAATACTAAGTAGACAGAATTAAAGCCAATTACATATTTTGCTGTACCAGGTTTACGGAGCACCGATCCTCGAGAACAAAAATTCATACACAAGCAGTCCATAGATATACTGTTCAAAATAGTTTTCCGACAGTTTAAGCAGCATGACTGTTGTAACATTTCACACATTTGCTTAGTTGCACTTGCCACCTTGAACACTACTCCGATTGTCCAGGCAGAGAATTTTGATATCACTACAAGATTGGACCACAGACAACAAAACAGATCATCATGGAGGCACAGTTCTCCAAATCCGTGTTTATTCCTGAGCAATTTTAGATTTAGAGTCAGAGTTGTACAGTATGGAAAGAGACTCTTCAATGTAACTCACCTATACCGACCAGATATCCTAGATTAATCTAGTCCCATTTGCCAGTATTTGGCACGTATCCCTTTAAATTCTTCCTATTCATATACCATTTCAATGTTGCAGTTGTACCAGCCTCCACCACTTCCTCTGGCAGCTCATACCATACACGCAACACTCTCTGCGTGAAAAAGTTTCCCCCGAAATCCCTTTTCATACATTTCTCCTCTCACCTTAAGCCTATTCCCTCTAGTTTTGGACTCCCTTAGCCTGGAGAAAAGACCTTGGCTCTTCACCCCATCCATGCCCGTCATTATTTACAAACCTCTGTAAGGTCACCCATCAGCCTCCAATGCTCCAGGGATAATAGCCCCAGCCTCTTCAGCCTCTCCCTATAGCTCAAACCCTCCAACCCCAGCAACATCCTTGTTAAATCTTTTCTGCACCCTTTCAAAATTTAACAACATCTTTCCTATAGTAGGGAGACCAGAATTGAACATAGTATTCCAAAGTGGCCTAACCAATGTCCAATGCAGCCGCAATATAACATCCCAACTCCTATACTCAATGCACTGACCAATGAAGGCAAGTGTATGAAATACCTTCTTCACTGCCCTGCGTACCCGCGACTCCATCTTCAGGAACTATGAATGTGCACCCCAAGGTTTCTGCTTGGCAACAGTCCCCAGGACCCTAGCACTAAGTGTAAAAGTCCTGCCCTGATTTGCCTTAAAAAAAAAGCAATACTTCACATTCATCTAAATTAAATTCCACCTGCCACTCCTCAGCCCACAGGTTCAAGTCCCACTGGACTCGGAGGTAATCTTCTTCACTGTCCACTACACCACCTATTTTGGTGTCATCTGCAAACTTAACCATTCCTCCTATATTCACATCCAAATCATTTATGTAAGTGACAAAAGACGGTGGACCCAACACTGATGCTTCTGGCAGACAAGTTACTGACCATTTAAAAAAAAAACCTTATGGTGATCATTTCTAGGAAACAGAAACCAGTGTAAATCTCCACCCTGAAGGGGCACGTATATCCTATTCAGAAAGTCCAAACATGTTGCAATAATCCCAATTTAAACGGAATGTAGCAGATCAATGCTCTACTTCTTTTTTCTCTTTTTTTGAAAAAGGTTAGATTTCAGATGTGTTAACAGTTATTTGGTTACCACTGAAAGTTGCTTTACAGTTTATTCTCCATATGAAAGAGCAAAGATCTACCAGCTTAGAGACAAGACCATCACATTCTTCTACTAAAATACAATTTACTGCATTAATTTTTGCTGTGTTTTCCACATCTAATGTGAACTTTAAACCTCAGAGGTTGTCAAAGTGAAAGATTCTACGATACACAGTTTTAATTGGAGCTGCAGTCTTTACTTTTGGCCACACAAGGGCCGTGTAAATTCCAAGGTTAAAAGAAATGCTAACCCTTAACCTCTTCCAGACGCAGGAATTCTTTAATGATTTTACAAGATTAGGTTTATTAAAAATAATCTTATTGCAATACTATACTCCTTGCATGATGGGGTAACCTGTTGCTTGGAGTCCTGTTTCCAAAATGATAATCCTGGCATGGTAAAGGAGAGACCACCGTCAAGAAAACTTTTAAAAAAACCTAAGTTTTACCAAAATCGAACCAAAGGTCAGGCTTATTTGATAATTAAACTCATTAAAGCTTGAGCCAAGCCATTTAGTTCCATCAAGACTTTTTTTGGCCGAGCTGGTACAGGTTACATTTGCTATGTAAAGGTGCAGCAGCAACTATTTTCCTCAGGCTCCAACAAAATACCAGGATGGAATAAACAGCAATCTTATGTGATAAGTGGACTTTTTAAAATGAAAAAAGATTCCATGTCATTTATGACTAGTGTCCGGCTGTGAATACCATTTCAGATGGATCAGAGTGGTTTGTTCTATCTCAAAAAAAAGTTGAACTGCAAATTATTGTGCCCTCATCAACCCCTACCCAGTTCCTGCCACAGTTCTGTATCACCAGAAGCTTGGGTAACAAATTTGACCAACTGATATTTATCATAAATATTCCTTGCAACCAGAGAAGTAAAATTATTAATTTTTTTTTTTTTTTAAATATGTGACTAAGAAATGCTGCATCACAATTAGTCCCTGTGAAAAATTGAAAGGTTAAGAACAAGTCTTTTACTTTCAGCAACCACATAGATTTAGACATAGTAAGCATTCCTTTTATTTTTCCAGAATTTCATCATTAGAGGTGACAGTTTAATATTTACCTACTAATTTTGTTATTCTTCTTTCTGAATCTAACCTCTGCCCAAATAATTTTAGATCCCTAAGTTAAACGAGAAACTCAACAAATCATGTCATACAGATGCAAAATATTGCCTGGGAAGTCAACTGCCAATAGAAATCTTTTTTGTTCACATCTATCTTCCACCATCCACTGCCTTTCTCCTACAATAAACCCTTTCCCTCTGCAAGGTTCCCTGGTTCTACAGTGGAGATATTTTAGCCTGAATCATAAGTTAGCTAATAGTTCCTTGGTAGCACAAAACTTGAATATTGCTAGAAAAAAAGATAAGCTGTCAAAAACTGTGATGAAGAAAAAAATCTCAGTTAATCTTTCAGGTCCGGTGACCATTGGCAGCTGATCATGCCAACCTCTCTATTGATTATTCCAACCTCTCCACTGATTCAGTGGGCTTTACCAGCAGATTACTGTTCCTTTCCTCACCTCCATCCAGAACGTTCATTCGCTGAGGCCAAGGTGCTTGTCAAACAGAAGGTCGTTACTGGTAATAGCGTGATGGAAACCTAGTGAGAAACTATGACAACTCCTCCGAAATGAAGTCTCCTTGCCCATTTAGAGCTCCCACCGTTGCCCTGACTAAACAATAGCAATGTCGGCATAGTTCTCAACATTAAATCACCCTTTAATTTGTCCTCTAACCTTACTAATACTTTTGTTTTGCTTCAAGTATCTCACTTTCTTTAAAAATTATGAAGAATCTGAAGAGAGTAGAGAAAGAGAAACTGTTCCCACTTGTAAAAGGATCAAGAACAAGAGGGAACAAAAAAAAAACTCAATGAGAATAATGATGGTATTCTGATTTCCTCATTTGCCAAATCGCTGCTAAAGGTTTAACATAAAAACAGAGATTGGTTGGAATGGAAATGAGAAAATTAGAAAGTTAAGACAGAAGATTAAAAACTGAGCAGCTTTTATGAAGAATAACTTAAAAGGAGGCAGTGTCAGGGTATGAATGAGTATCTGCTAGTATTCAAGCATTTGAAACTTATGCTTAGTGGAAGAATGAAGTGTATACAGCGACATGGGTTATATTCCTTTCACAAGAGGGAACAAGACATGGCCTTGGGGTTCCTCAACAGAACTAAAATCAAAACAAGGTATTTTGGCATCCAGCTCTCAATCAGTTCTTGAAGGAGGTGTAACTCCACAAGGTTTTCTAAATGATCCTCTGGATGCTGTCAAGACATGGTTAGAATTTCATTATCCATTTTCAAATTCAGTCATTTTGTAGCTGAATGTATTATGTACTTTAGAAGGCTGTATGAAAGACTGCAGATCTTCAAACATTCAGTGCTCCCATTTAAGTCACTGCGTTGTGACAAGGGGTCTCATTTTCAAGCTATTGGTCTTAACTGGGAATTCAGTTCTTAGACGTTCATTTTTGCAGCATATGTCTGCAGTCTTGACAATATTCCTGAGGAATCAGTAATTTCCAAAAATCTTTATTCTGTGGTGGCAAAGGATGGAGCACTGAATGGCCATGGCATTTTAAAATCATCCCGATATCAGACACAAGTGCTAGTATAAAGAAAGTTTCAGAGAGGTGGAATGAGACATTTTGTGGCAGTGGCCTTCTTAAACCACTGCAGACAATAAATGTACTTTTAGCCGGTCTGGATACTACAGGACTGAAACAGCAATCACAGGCTGACGAACTGCAAGATTTGAGGGGAGCAGTTAAACAGGTGTTTCAGGTGTGAATCCAAATATCATTGTGATGAACTTCTAAAGCAAAAAAGCAAAGTTCATTGCTGAAAATGAGACTTCCAGCTGCCATACTCAAAAACACCATGTTTAATATTTTCAAACATGTTTCTAAACTTGCCATTAGCAAATTTCCTGGAATTATCAATCAGAAACAAAGTGGGTGGTTCAAATATAGCTCCTACATTTTTTATCATAACTTTAGCTGCTTACCCTCATCATGCATCACTAGAGAAAGATCAAATTTGGTTGCTATGTTGCTGAAGTATAAAACAAAGAAGATCTCACTGTCCCATATATATAGGTCTGAAGTAACTTTGAATCAGCAATCCTATTTAGAATTTTTCCAGGCCTTGAATAATATGGGCTCTAAGAAATTTGGGAGAATCACGTTGACAAGTCAAGCAAAGACTCTGTTGACATCAGGAGCATCAAATCGCATTTTCCAAGAGTTCCAGGCATCTAGATGAGGGTCTTGCTGATGAGAGTGAGGAGGCGCCTCATATTGCTTATCATCATCCTCACTTTTACCTAGTCACCTTAATAATTAGGCACAATCCCATTCTAGCCCCTGCCAGATAGAAACTAGGCGTCCAGAATGCTCATGAAAGTCAGAGCAGGCACCTGGGAACTCCAGATCACCACTTGCTCCTCTGCGCCGATATCTACAGGGCAGCAGCCCCACACATCTCACTTTCATGGACATAGTGCAGAGAAGTTGGCATGGTGGATGCCAATCATAGCACATCAGCATGTGCTTCTGCACTGTAATGTTGCATTTCAGAGTGCACTGGTATATTTAATTGGAATGCTGCTGCAAGAATACTGTGTACAGTGACACTTACCCAGTTCAGATTGATCAGACTACATCTTAGGGCTGCTCTCTCATCACTTCCTCATTTAGTATCTACTGGATGCTCATAGCATTTTTGCCTTCCTTTTTGCACTTTGCCCAGAGCTTAAAAGGTTCAAGAACTGACGTACTGCCTTGCTATCTAGTACAGTCACAAAGCCAGGCAGCTTCTTATGGTCATCAGCACTCATCAGCCAAACAGCTCTACGGCATATTGCTGAGTGGCACATTTTATGTCAATCTCACATCTGCATCCTGAGCCATTAGTGTACTAACAGACTGTACATGCTCCAAGGGGCATACCTCAAGGTTTAAAGGAGAGTGCTCTTCAGTCAAGTCAAACAGAGACACCCTTTAGACAGGGGATCCTAAGAGAAAGGCAGTCTGTGATTCCAGGCCAAGCACTTGGGCATACAGTCATTAGAGACAGTCGGAGTCAGGATTCTCTCCTTTGAGGAAAGAAATCAGATGTTGGGCATCTCACCATCCATATTAGCACTTTCTGCCCTTTTATATAAAAAAAAAGGAAACAGCCCATTAAAAATGAGAAAGGGTGGGACTAAGGGAGATTAAAGAGGATAGCACAGCTGTTAATGCTAATGCAAGGGGGGTGAAAAGGTGGTGAGGGATAAATTTTTTTTTAAAAAAGTAATAAATATATATAAAACCATGGGTGATTTGGGGAAAATAAAGGACACCATTGAGCCCTATGTAAAAAAAGAAAAAAATGCATAATGGAAAAATGGGGCTAAATCAAGCAGGCAGTTTCGTTCTCAATAGTGTACCTAGCATCTAGAACATAGAACAGTACAGCACAGTATAGGCCCTTCGACCCACGATGTTGTGCCGACCTATTATCCTACTGTAAGATCAAACTAACCTGCATACCCTTCATTTTACTATCATCCAAGAGTTGCTTAAAGGTCCCTAAATGTATCTGACTCTACTACCTATCTAATGTTGAGGTGCACTCATTTAGGCAAGTGCGAAGTATTTCACCACATTCCTGATGTGTGTTGTGTTGATGGTGGACTTGAGGGTCAGAAGGCAAGTTACCTGCTGCAGGATTCCTAGCATCTGACCTACTCTTACAGCCATAGAATTTGTATTGCCAATACCGATACTGCATTCTAACAATAAGCCAAGTTTGTGTCCACATTATTACTGCCTCCTTTACTTCATGAATTCCAACTATTTTCAAGTCGGTCATGTGGTATTGAATATGACAGTATTTATACAGCTAGTCCAGTTCAGTTTCTGGTCAGTAGTAATTGTCACAAAATGACAGCACATGATTCAGCAATAGCAATGCCATTAAATGTCAAGGGATGCGGATTACATTCCCGCTTGCTGATGGTCTGTCTGGCATTTGTGTGGTGCAAATACAGCCATAAAAAATTAGGAACAGTAGGAGTAAAAATTAAGACACTTTGTTGCCACACAAATATTACAACAGGGGCTAAAATGATTGGTAAAAGTTTTGAAAGATACAGTGAGATTACAGGAATTCAAAAGTCAAAGTCACACAACATGGAAACAGACCCTTCGGCATGGACGAGTTGGGCCAACCAGGTTTCCTAAACTGAACTAGTCCCATGCATTTGTTACATATCCCTCTAAACCTTTCCTATCCACGTACCTGTCCAAATATCTTTTAAGTGGTGTAATTGTATCACCTCTACTACTTTGTCTGGTAGCTAAAGCTGCTAGAGCATAACGGCTGATTTTCAGTGCAATTTAAGAAGCTGGTGATGGGAAACTCAGATACTACAACCACTGGAGCCTCTAGTATTAATGTCAGCATGGGAAGTTGCGCAAGTTAAAGTTGTCATTGTCCCATAGGCTCCTCCGAGTTCATGGATAGCAACGGATTTAAACCGAGGGTCACCATGCCTTAGGTAAGGGCCGAGGTTGAGGAGGTAGGTAGTTCATGTTGACTTAGCCAGTAATGGATTTGAACCATCAACTGTTGGCATCACTCTACATCACAAATCAGCCATTCAGCCAACAATCCCTCATGAAAATGAAGGCACAAATGCAACAAAAAAAAAAAAAAAAAAATTGACAGATTTACAAGGCAGAAGAGAAATGATTTTAAAAGTTAACTACTTTTCTCTGGAGACACTAAGTTTCTTCAAATGAGATTTAACGCATCACATTCTTCTCAGGCAAACTATGTAAACTATAAAATGGAACAAATTCTCTTCTTTTGCTACCAGTTTCACAATCAGCAGCCTATTTCTGGTAAACAGAAGTTTGATGTAGAAAATGTCAGAGTCCTTTCATTGTCAAAATCAGCTTTAACCAAATGGCATCCTATTTATATCTGTGTGAATTCACCACTCTCCATCATAATCTTGAAAATCAAGAGGAGATTAAGGTCTCTATGACTATGACTATGACTGTTCCTATTTGGCACAAATGAATACAAATTGGTGCAGAAGACCAAAACATTTCACCACATGCTGCTGAATACTATTCTTGCTCCAAGGTGAGAGAAAAAGTTACCCTGTGATTGGATTTTTGAAGGGAAAGTAGCAATTATTAAGATTCAAGCTATGACAGAAGAATGTTATGGTTAAACACAGCTGCATACTATACACAAAGTGCTTTGCCATATTTAAATAATACCCATCCTTAGAAACCATATTTTGTCATGCTTACTTGTCCAGCAATTGCAGTGAAGTAACTCCACATTGGATCCACTGAAGCAGCAGAAGGGTACCCAGTGTAAGCAGAATAAGGCTGGTATGCACCTGGTGGGGCAGCATGCATCGGTCCACCTGGCCCTGCCATTCCAGTCATATGTCCACTAAAACCTCCATACTGACACAAGAGAATGCCAAAGTTAGTATAAGAATAAAAGGAAACTACTACTTTCTATGGAGTGCATTTAAAGTAAGCAATGTACATTAAAAAGAAACAACATGAAGTGCTCATTTGCTGTACCAATTAATATGCACGGTCATTTTTCTTACAGGGACACAGCGCAACACATTTAAATATCTGAACAAAATCCTTTCAATGCAAGCAAGCATGATACAATATCCCATATTGAGTAAACATCCTTTTGACCCTCACTATCATTCATAAACCAACTAACAAATTTGGTTCTGACCCAAGTAAATATTTTGTTTTTAGTACCATTTTCTTATAGTCAGTCATTGATGTTACTCAAAGATCTATATTTGGAACTATTTGAATACATTTCACAATATACTCACCGGAAACATGCAAATCAAGATGAGTCAGTATAAATTTTTGAAGGGCACATCATGAAATCAACCTTATATAATTCTTTAAGACAGTAGATGGAGAGAATGCTGTACTTATAGTTTAATATAAATTTTCAACAAATTAAAAACAAAATAATTTGATGGTCCCTCACAAGATACTTAGAAAAAAAAAGCAAGTTAACGGAAAGGGATGATAGAGTTGGTTAGAGGGAAGAAAACAAGAACTAAAAAAAACAGCAAGTGATGTTCCATAAAAGTGTTGGGGTTTCAGGAAAAAGAAACAAGTTCAACATACAGGCTTGGACAATACTGTCAAAATCTGCTTAAGATACCAAAGTGAACAGTACAAAAATATAACAAGAGCCATGAGAAACTTTTAGAAGCCAGAATGGAAGAATGCATTTCAGTTTCATGCAATGTGAGGTGCCGAATACAAATTCAAGAATGTGATTTGTACCCACTCAAAATATTAATCAGAACAACTGGATTTGTAAAGATTATGCTGCTGCAGCAACCTTTTTCACTGGTCAGAAAAGGCATTCACAATAGAACACAAATTTAAGATAGGTGACAAGGAATTAAACAAGAAGTTTTAAAACTTTTACAGTTAGTATAGCATTCTTGACATCATCTTCGGTGCATAGGCCATAACTTTTCAGAAGAAATTAAGGACAATAGGTAGGTGGAAAGGAATATTAAGTGCTTGGCAAACAAGCAAAATATGACACCAAACCATGTGAAGAGAAACAAGGTAGACCTGATAAGCAAACATACATAAAGAATCTGGGCTTTTAGCCCATTTAGTCTTTTTGGCCATAACTGAATAGCAAACCTTAAACACAATTTCATTAATCTGTCTTTACTCCACATTACTCTATGATAACCTGAAGTCTTGGAAGATTCCAATGACTCTATAACCATGGACTTCACTTCAAGAGGGGAAAATGGTAGTTTCAGATTTTACTAAAACAAACGCCAAATACTGTTAACTGCTAATCCTAGATGAGTAGAAGAGAAACAGAAAACAATGACAGATTTCTAATACCCTTTTTGTGTGAAGAAATAGTTCATGTTACTCCTCAATGGACTAGCTCTAATTTTAAGAGTGCCCTCCAAAGGTTCAATGACTAAAATCTAACAGTATTCCAAATAGGACTGGATTACAGCTCCAGCAAACTAAAATACCCCTTTGTAATTTTTAAGTTTCAATTTCCACAAACTAAAGCCAATATTGCATTTTGTTCTAGTTTTTTTTGTACTATAGCTAAATCCTTCTTCTCCCATCATTTCACCAATAAATACATGAACATCTTAGATCCAAATTGGATGGTCTTACACTTTCGAAAATTTAGCAACACAATGGCAGATGGACTTAACTTAGTGTGATCTAAAAAACTTGTATGTACAGTTTGTATTTAACTAGTACTTGATAAATATAAAAATCACAGTTCATAGTAGGATAATCAAACAAATAAAAACACAACCATAAAATAGCAAAAATGGTTATGAGGGGTGCCTAAAGGAAAAATGGAAATGGTCAGAAGTTTGAGGAAAATCCAGCACTCAGTTGAATCAGATGAAGGCTGTTCACACACCAGTATGGGGTGAACAATGTGGCAGTGCACTAAAGGCCACAGCGAGAGGATGCAATGTTCTGAGTTGAGAAAATAGTGGGCTTGAAAGAAATGAGCACACAGATGACAAAAGCCTTAGACACTAGTGAACTGAAAGTCAATGAAGTTGAACAAACACAAGTGACAAACTTGAATATAACCAAAGAGTTTTGGGTAAGCTCAAATTTATGGTACATGGAAGACAAAATAAAAGCTAGGAGACAGAACTCTGCTCATGACATACCACTCTCCTTTGTTCAAATAATTGACCTATGTGATTAGCTCAGCATTAGTACAGCTATGTCAGGCACATTTTAAAAACCTTGCTTTAATATAGCATCATTCAGCACCACAAAGCCATCTCAAAACATGTTACCGTCAATAAAGTAGTTTTGAAATGCAGTCTCTTTTGTAATGTAAGACATGCAAAAGCCAATTTGCATATAACGAAGTTCCACAAACAGCAATGTGATAATGACATGATCGTCTTTTTAAGTGATATTGATCGAGGAATAAGTACTAGCTGAGACACTGGGAAAGTGATCCTGCCATTAGAAATAATGCAAGGAGTGTTCAGACTTTGAGAATGCCTCAGTATTGAACTGGAAGGTCAGCCTTGACTTCAGTCATTAAAATCACTGCAGTGACACTGAAACCCCTCATATTCTGACAGATATTTTTTGAATTCACTCATGGAACATGGGCATTGCTGGCTGGGCAGCATTTATTATCTGACCCGAGTTGTCCTTGAGAAGGCGGTGGTGAGGTGCCTTCTTGAACCACTGCAGTCTACATGAAGTAGGTAGATCTATAATAGCTTTAAAAGGATACAACTGTTGGATTTTGACCCAGCAACACAGTGAAAGAATGGCGATATATTTCCAAGTCAGCATGGTAAGTGGATTGAAGGGGAAATTGCAGGTGGTAATTTTCCCATGTATTTGCTACCCTTGTCCTTCTAGGTGGAAGCAGTTGTGGGTTTGGAAGATGCTGTCTAAGGATCTTTCGTGAATTTCTCCAGTGCATCTTGTAAATAGCACGCACTACTGCTACTGGGCAACGGAGGAGGGAGTGGATGCAATGCCTCCGAGCAGGCTGCTTTCTTGAGGGTCATTGGGAGCAAAACCCATCCAGACAAGTCGGGAAAATTCAATCACGATCCTGACTTAAGCCTTGTAGATGATGGACAGGTTTGGGGTGTCAGCTGAGTTACTTGTTGCAATATTCCTAGTCTCTAACCCGCTCTTATAGCCACTATATTTATACCGTGAATCCTGTTGAGTTTCTGATCAATGGTAACCCCCAGGATATTGAGTGTGGGGGGAATTCACTGATGATAACACCTTTGAATATCAGTGGTTAGTCTCTTATTGGTGGTGGTCATGGCCTAGCATTTGTGTGGCACGAATTCTACTTTCCACTTGTCAGCCTAAGTCCAGATATCGTCCTGACCTTGTTGCATTTGAATAGTCACAAACGGTGCTGAAAATTGCACAATCATTGGCAAACAGTCCCGCTTCTGACCTTATGATGGGAGTGGAGAAGTGCTACCTATCAAGTCACAGCTTTAAAGTCATTTTGCTGACACTCGTCACATCACCAAGTAGGGAGAAAGAAATCCATTTTATTTCCTCTAGTTGGAAGGTCTAAAGCAGTTGCCAATCCGTACAAGCTTACCTCCAATTTTGTGCCTCATCATTTTTCTAACAGTCTCTTATGCAGAATGTTGTGTCCTCTGGAAGGTCATATTAAAAAAAAATTCATATACTCACTAGTCCATCACAATTATCCTCTCAAAACTTCAACGAAATCACACAAAACCACCTTTCACACATCCATGGAGACTTGTATTAAATAATCCCTCCACACTTCTACATTCTCTCTAACGATTCAAGTGCAAAAACCACACAAAAAAAAAATTGTGGAAAGTTTATTAATAAAGCCCCAATTTTGCTCAAAAAAAGGTGCTGATGACCCACTCTCTTGAATCAATGCAGTCTGTAGTGAAGGTAAACCCATGGTGCTGTCTGGGAGGAGATGCCAGGATTTTGAACCAAGCACAATGAAGTCTATCGAAGTCAGAATGACAAGTGACTTGTAGGTGCTAGTGTTTCCATAAACTTGTTAGCCTTGCCCTTTTTCCGGCTCATATTGCAGGTCTGGAATGTGCTCTTGGAGACAGAAGACATCCCATAAAATGGTAATGGAAGAACTGTGCAAATGAAAACAATATTTCAGGAAGATATGGGGCATTTTCAATGTTCAAAAGCGCCTGCACATCCTTGTACAAGGAAGATATTGCATGCAGATTTTTATTGCAAGGAAACTGGAATAGAAGATCAAAGATTGTCTTGTTACAGTTGTACAGGGTTTTGGTGATAGCACACCTGGAGTACTGTGTGCAGTTTTAGTCTTCCTATCCTAGGAAGGATATACATGCCCTGGGAAATAGTACAGTCAAAGGTTCCCCAGAAGAAGGCTGTTCCAAGCTGGGAGGCTGTGTATCTTTGGTCTGTAGTCTTAGAATTTGGGAAAATGAGCAGTGACAAGCTTGATATATACAAGATTGTGGAATGGCTGTGCTTGGGGAGGATATTCCATGGAGTACGTCCAGTGAAGTTATTGGGGTGGAAATGAGAAATAAGAAAAGGGATAATCACTTCATTGGGATTGTAATCTAGAATCCCCCCCAACAGTCAGCAGGAAATCGAGAAGCAAGTTTGTAAGGAGACCTCCACTATCTGGTAACAGTAGGGTATTTTAACTTTCTAAACATAGACTGGGACAGCCATAGTGTTAAGGGATTGGATGTGGAAGAATTTAAGTGTGCACGAGAAAATTTTCTTATTCAGTATGTAGATGTACCCACTAAGGAGGAGCAGCACTTGACCTTCTCTTAGGAAATAAGTGACTGAGGTGTCAGTGGGGGCGCAACTGGAGCAAGTGATCTTAATTCTATTAGTTTTAAAACAAACAG